TGGGAGTTCTTGAATTTCCTATGAATTCCCTGTGTAATAACAATGTATGTCTTTAGAAATTCTTACAACCGATTGCTTTGTGGTTTTCAGAATACCTTATAAATTCCTAATGCGTTTTTCTCAGTGAGATTAGATCAGTTTTTCCAAGTTCTGATAGACAATCTGGGAGTGTTCACTTGAATGCCGGTAAGCAATCGTTTCAAGATCAAAGAGTAGATCTTTGAGTGGGACAGAACTTACGGTTTTCAGCCATGGATGTGATCATTCTTCCTTTGGAGATATGCAAAAAGGTTTCTTAGTGCAAAGGGTAAACCATTCTGACCTAGAGCAGTGGTTCTTCACGCACAGTCTGCGAGCAAAGGAGCATTTCCAAGGCTTTCCAGCAGTCCCTTTCCTTTTCTCATTACGTGTCCACCAGCCGCCAGCTTTAAATACTCCAACCAAACCAGCGCATCTCAACTGAGTGAATGCGGAACCAGAGAGGAGAATCCACTTGCAGTTGCCTTCTGTTAAACAGACACTTAAAGAATTTGCAAAAAAATGTAAAGGTGTCCATTATTTTCACTGTTTTTTTTTGGCTTTGTGATAGTCAGCGTTGTTTTTTTCATAAAATACCTTATTTTTGGTAACATGTCATGAGTTTATTATCATTTTAAAAGCGTTAATCAAAACAATTTAACCCATTGCCATCAAGCCAACTCTGACTCATAGCACTGAGTCACCTGCCTGAGATGGGATCCAGCGCCGTACAGCTTTACAGACGCAGACTGCCACCTCTTTCTCCTGTGGAGACACCTGGGGGGCGCGTGGGGGTAAGACACATTGACCTTTTCGATGGCAATTGCTGAGGCTGAGACAGACACTGGGGCTCCATTAAGCAAGTTAATATATAATAGTAAATAAATATATGTAAAGTGCATTATAGAATATATGTAATTTTAATTTCCTATATAGTGAATATTGATAGCTATAACCTGTAGGATGCTTTTTGAGATCTTCCATAGTTTTAAAAAATGTAAAGGGTTCTGGGGCCAAAATGGTTGAGAAACCTTGTTCTACCTTTTCCTGCCTCTAGTTCTGGCTTTGGAAGATTGACGTTGGCTGGTAGTTCTCAGATTTTTAGCTATTTACTTTAAATTATAATAACTTTGCCCATCCTACAGTAAGTGAGAAATAAAAGGATCAGAACACCTTTGTATTTTTCCAGGTGAGGAAAGGCTCCCACAGGGTCTGTGTGTTCCTTCTCTCCCTAACTGAATGAGCTCAGTGTCTGCATAGCTCTGCCGGGGAGCTCATGGAGAGGGCCGGCATTATCTTCACAGTCACTGTTACATCTGCTGTGGGACGGAAGGTTAGAGGGTCTGGTGAAGGAATCCTTCCCGCTCATTTACAGGGTTATGTGGATTGTTTTGTGGTTTTGTTCATTGTCATACCAGACTTTTTGGGAAATATATAGCCCTCAGAGTACAAAAAAAATTTTTTTTTAATCTTTCTCTTTTTCCTTTTTTTTTTTTTTTGCTTTCATGTTGTTTTTAAAATCATTTTATTGGGGGCTCAAACAACTCTTATCACAATCCATCCATCCATCCATTGTGTAAAGCACATTTGTACATTCATTGCCCTCATCATTCTCAAAACATTTGCTCTTCACTTAAGCCCCTGGCATCAGCTCCTCATTTTTACACCCTCCCTCCCCGCTTCCCCCTCCTTCATGAACCCTTGATAATTTATAAATTATTATTATTTTGTCATATCTTGCCCTGTCCGACGTCTCTCTTTACCCACTTTTCTGTTGTCCATCAGGGAAGAGGTTATATGTAGATCCTTGTAATTGGTTCCCCCTTTCCACCGCACCCTCCCTATCCCCTCCCGGTATCGCCACTCTCACCACTGGTCCTGAAGGGATCATCCGCTCTGGATTCCCTGAGTTTCCAGTTCCTATCTGTACCAGTGTACATTCTCTGGTCTAGCCAAATTTGTAAGGTAGAATTGGGATCATGATAATGGTGGTGGGAGAGGTGAGGGAGAGGAAGCATTTAGGAACTAGAGGAAAGTTTTGTGTTTCATCTTTGCTACACTGCACCCTGACTGGCTCGTCTTCTCCCCACGACCCTTCCATAAGGGGATGTCCAGTTGCCTATAGATGGGTATTGGGTCCCCACTCCTCACTACCCCTCATTCATAATGATACGATTTTTTGTTCTTTGATGCCTGATACCTGATCCCTTTGACATCTCATGATCACACAGGATGGTGTGCTTCTTCCATGTGGGTTTTGTTGCTTCTGAGCTAGATGGCCGCTTGTTTACCTTCAAGTCTTTAAGACCCTAGATGCTATATCTTTTGATAGCCAGGCTCCATCAGCTTTCTTCACCACATTTGCTTATGGACCTGCTTTGTCGTCAGCGATTGTGTTGGGAAGGTGAGCATCATGGAATGCCAGTTTAATAGAACAAAGTATTCTTGCATTGAGGGAGTACTTGAGTGGAGGCCCCATGTCCATATGCTACCTTAATACTAAACTATAAATATATGCACATGAATCTATATCCTCATCCTTATATATAAATATATTTACATATGTACATGCCTTTATTTAGACGTCTATAAATGCCCTTTGCCTCCTAGCTCTTTCCTCTATTTCCTTTGACTTTCCTCTTGTCCCACTATCATGCTCAGCCTTGATTTGGGTTTCAGTAATTCCTCTCAGTTACATTACCCTTGGTCAGAGTCCAAAATTTAAGTTGGAAACATTTTGAAAGAAAGGGATAGCATGGGCTGCAAGGCATCCTGTGGGCCCGCTGTGGAAGGCATCTTGGGATTCAAGAGTGGGAGGATGAAGAAAGCATCACCAGAGCTCTGCCATATACCCTTCATGCTTTTTCATGTTCCTGCTCCTTGTGTGGTACAAATGTTTCTATAGCTGGTAACAAAAACCTTAAGATTCAAGCCCAGGCTGAGGTGGTTGGGAAGAAAGACTTGCCTATCTACTTTCAACGAACCAGTCAATGAAAACCCTACGGAAAGAGCCATGTAAGTGAGGTGCCAGAAGGAGCAGACCAGCCCATGTGATCCAAGGATTGTCAACACTAAAATTGAAGACGAGAGGAGAGAATTGCATTAGGGGTTTAAATTCTGAGAACCCAGTTTTCAGAAGGCTACCAATGACAGTGAAAGACTAAAATTCATTTGCAGAGTTCTCACTTGGATTGAGCCTCCATTGAATCCTTTTGCACCATTGGCCAGAGATGTGGACATGCTTACACTCTCAGTACATTGGAAAGTGAATTGTTACAGACATTGTCATGCTAAAATGGAACATAATTGTTCTACTTTCTATTATCTTCTGTTTTCTCTTAGAGCGAGGATTTTTTATATCTTATTTTGTTGTCACTTTTTTTGGGGGTGGGACATGAATTTCTTTATTGCAATTCCAGGATAGGTAAATTTATAAAGACAATAACTAGATTAATACTTCCTTAGGGTTATTGGAGGCAAGATTGGGCGGGTGTGGGGTGCGGGGATAGGGAGCTAATAATAATGAGTACAAGAAAGAAGAAAATGTTCTAAAAATTGATGTAACTAACACCATTGGTCCTGTAGGGCTCATCCACCCTGGATTCCCTGTATTTTCAGTTCCTATCTGTACCAGTGTACATCCTCTGGTCTAGCCAGAATTGCAAGGTTGAATTCTAGTCATGGTAGTGGGAGCGGGGAGGAAACATTTAGGAACTAGAGGAAAGTTGTATTTCTCGTCGTTGTTACATCGCATCCTGACTGGCTCATCTCCTCCCTGAGACCCCTCTGCAAGGGGATCTCCAGTGGCCTACTAATAGGCTTTGGGTCTCCACTCTGCACTCCCCCCATCATTCACTATGGTAAGATTTTTTGTTCTGATGATGCCTTACACCTGATCCCTTCGACACCTCGTGATTGCATAGGCTGGTGTGCTTCTTCCATGTGGGCTCTAGGGAGGGTGGAGGGAGAGTGGGTAGGAAGGAGGGAACCGATTACAAGGGACTATATGTGACCTCCTCCCTGGGGGACGGACAACAGAAAAGTGGGTGAGGGGAGACGTCGGACAGGGCAAGATATGACAAAATGACAATTTATAAACTATCAAGGGCTCATGAGGGAGGGGGGAGCGAGGAGGGAGGGGAAAATGAGGACCTAATGTCAGGGGTTTAAGTGGAGAGAAAATGTTTTGAGAATGAAGTACAAATGCGCTTTACACAATTGATGTGTGTATGGATTGTGATAAGAGTCGTATGAGCCCCTCATAAAATGTTTTTTAAAAATTGATTGTAGTGCTAACTGCACTTTACTATATTTAAACTATTGAACTGTATGATATGTGAATTATAGATCAATAAAACTATTTTTTTTAAAGTGTTATAGAGGACAATGCTAGTCTGACACACATCAACTTGTCAGAAACAGCTTTATGGCAACTGGAATTTTGCGTTTGGTGTCACGAGGAACAGAGGGACAGGGAGGATAAGAAAATAAGTAAGAGGGAGACTAATCAGGCAACAAAACAGTGTAGATGATCTAGAAAAAGGAGGTGCCATACCCCACCAACAAGCTGGTCGGATCTCACTTCTGCAGCTGTCGCCTCTCCAGTGCCTAGAAGCAGGCCTGCGAGACTCCTGGACTGTTGACTCTTGGCCCTCAAAGCACACGGTCCATATTGTTTAACACTGGGATTCCCTGACTGCTGCTATGTAGGCAGTTGAAACTCAAGGCCACACTTTTTGAAATATAAAGAAGATGGTGATTATAGATCTGGTAGAGAAAGAAAAATGATTTTGGTTTTGAATACAAGAACCTAGGGAGGCTGCCTCTAGGCAGTGATGGCCATTAGGCAGTTGGAATTAAGGATCTGGCTCCTGAGAGAGAGTTTGTGCTGGATGGTTTGCTGTGGAAATCAGCATCCCATAGAGGTAGTTGCAACTGTGGATACACCAGGTGACTTTAATAACTCTCTTTTGCTTTATCAGCTTTTTCAGGTGGCCTATATCATAATCAAATTTGCAAACTCTCCTCGCCCTGAACTTTGGGTCTTGGAACGATCTGTGGATTTTGGAAACACCTATGTACCATGGCAATATTTTGCTCGTAAGTAATCGTGTCTACCACGTTATGTGGGGCTTTAATTATTTCCAGCTGATCAATATTACGGGCCTTATTTGAAAATTAGTCTCTCAGTGTTGCTAGCTAGAGACCGGTCACTCTTTAAACAACAAACATTTTCTTAAATTATGTTTTAGGTGAAAATTTGCAGAGCAAGTTAGTTCCCCATTCAATAGTTAGTATGTGAAGTGTTCCATGATGCTGATTCAATTGTTTGCTATCTCTTAAAGTTTTTATTGGCATCTGGGTAACCATTTACAGGGCAAATTGGTTTTCCACTCAACAAGCCACGCAGGTTGATTCGAGTTACTGCTTGCAACCCTGCAACAGAACAGCACACTCTCTTCCCACTTCCGTCCTGTGCTGACCATTTCCCTGCGTCCTCCTTTCCTGGCCCTGCCGCCTTCAGAACCTTATCCCTGGGCACATACTGCCCTTTGAGCCGGTATTACTAGTTGTTCTAAGGAGTCCGTACCTCCCTGGGGCTATTGTTTGCCTCCCGTTGTTTCTGTTGTTCTGATTCCTAGTGACATTATGTACAATAGGACAAAACATTGCCCAGTTTTACACCATTCCTATGCAATTAGTGCTGTTTGTTTGCCCATCTATTATTTGGCTGAACATTAAGCCACGGGGGGGTTGGGATAAGAGGCTTGTTATTTTTAATCTTCTAAATTAGCCCTCAGAATATCTCTATTTCATAAGTATGTGCGTGCTTATGCCAAGGATACCACATGCAACCCTGAGGATGCACTGCCTTTATGATCACAGTTCTTCCATTATTTGGAGTAAGGCAGTGTACCTATAAGTGGGCCACCGCTCCAGCCTTTTAGTTTGATATCGAATGAGGAGGTGAGCTCCATCTGCATGGATCCTTTGTGGTGAGTTACTTGCCTTGGGCTTGCTGTCCTTGTGAATGAGGGATAGCAATGCCACGGAGCCTTACGATGAATTGAGGAGGACAGGAGGTGGGCTTGCAGCGTGCACACCTTTTCCGTGAGAGCACCTGAGAGGGTAACCTGGTCTGACGGGGTGTGAAGATATAAAGCCTCATCTTCAAATATTGCAGCTGAAAGTGAGTTTCGTTCACGAATGAAACATGCCAAGATTTTACCTAGAAGCCTTAAACGGTTCTTTTTTCCTTTCTTAAGCGAACACAAGCCTTTATAAGAGATGGACACCAACAATGAAACCTTCATTCTATGATACGTACATTTCTTTTTCTTCCTAGATTCGGAACAAGACTGTGTGGAACAATTTGGGCAGGAGGCAAATCAGGCCCTCACTCGGGATGACAAGGCCCTTTGTGTTACTGAGTACTCTCGGATCAACCCTTTGGAGAACGGCGAGGTGAGTCCACGTGGGTGGTGTGAGGGATAAGGCTCGGCAGTGAACCTGCAGAATTAACGCAGATTAAGCTGGAAATCAGCGCTAAGGACGGAGCGACAAATTAATCACACCGAGGTCTCCCAGAATGAGTGGGGTTGGGAATTCTGGTTAGAGTCCTGAATTCTCTCCCTGGGAGATCAGGATTCAGGATTCATGGTCCAGGATCTAACCCTCTCCTTTCTGGTGGCAAGTAAGTCACTGGTGAGTGCGGCAATGACCCCTCCTCTATTATCCCCTGCATGCATGCAGGGGCTCCCTAGTCCCTGAGCTCTTGTGGCAGGATGGGTGCCATCTGTTGGGGAGCAAAAAATTGGGGTTACATTTGACTGTTGTTTGGAAAAATGGAGGTGGGGAAAATCGGGTGAGAGTCCAGAGAAATGGTAAGGCCCAGTGAACAGGGACTGAGTTGCCAATAAACTTTCCTAAAGGGTGTCAGCTCCTTTCTTTAAGCAGAGGATCTTTCCCCAGTGGCTCACCCAGCATCTTCCAATAGTGGCAAGTGGGTCACGTTTCAAATGGCTGCAACCAAGCCTGCTGGTGTGCAGGCGGATTTGTCTCCATCACTGCCAAGCTCAGAGTCAGGGAGCTTCCTTCTTCAACCTCCCTTTGATGACGTTAGCCCTGTTACTCTGATGCCGCTCAGCACATTTCTTTACCTTTATGGGTTGGAACACATTTCCCATATTCCATAGCTGTTTAGCCCCTCCCTGCAACTGCACTGGTAGAGCAAAGGGATTGAACATGAAACGACACCACCCCAGAAAGGCCAGGTTTCACGAACCCGTTGCCAGACCCTGGAACTAGGAAGGAAAGAGGAGATGAAACTGGCAACCATAGCTTTAGACACAAATGAGACCCAAGACCACCTACACACAGCTAGTGGCTCAAGGAAGCCAGGTGCTTCAGGGCACGTGAGTTATTTTTGTTTAGTTGCTGCTGAATTTTGATGAAAGGATTTCCCCCCCTTTATATGTGTGTGGTTATTTTTAGGTTGTTGTGTCCTTGATAAATGGCCGGCCAGGTGCAAAAAATTTTACTTTCTCTCATACCCTGAGGGAGTTCACCAAGGCAACAAACATCCGCTTGCGTTTTCTTCAAACCAACACCCTTCTTGGACATCTCATCTCCAAAGCCCAGCAAGATCCAACAGTCACGCGACGGGTAAGTCGTGGCTTTCAAGTGTGGAGTCAACAGCTTTTACTACTATTTTTGTTTATCAAGTTAATTGCCTTGATCTCTTTCAAGTAAGCGGCTTAGCCAGGGATGGTGGAGGGATGGGTGTTGTTCTTGTTTGATATGCTTCTTGAATTAGGAGTTTGGGTGTTTGAAGAAAAATCATCATCCTAATAAAAAAAAGATAAAACGCCCAAGATGCTAGCCAGCCTGAGGGGATGGTAATCTTGGTAGGATAATACTAATAGTGCTAGCTCCAAAATCTCAGAGGCGTGGACAAATAAAGGCTTGTGCCGTAGTGCAGCGTGGGTCAACAGTGGGGAACTGCTCTGTGCAGCAATTCAGGGGTCTAGACTCTTTCTGTCTAGTGTCACCGCTATCATGCTGGGCCCAGAATTTTCCTTTTTATCCCCTGTGTCAACAGTGGACAGAAGAGAGAAGAGATAGAGAAAATATACCTTCTTTAATCCCACAGATCACTTATACTGACAAGAACTGCTCAGTTATGAGGGTGTTTCCAGAAGGTGGTGGGAAAATGTATTATCTTTCAATTCCATTTTCCACCAATGTTTTGAGGCTCCTACATTGTCCAACCTAGAAGCAAGGAAGCTGGGTCATGCAATCCAGTTGTGGGCCCAAGAAGCTGCAGAGGAGAACACAGATACTGACGAACAGTCGTAGATGAATATCCTGAGCATCTCTCACTCTTAGGTGTTAGGATAGTACCCCTGCCTTCCAGGAGGGAGCCAACAGAATTAATACCCAGAATTCACCCTTCTTCCACTCTTTGATTTCCTGCCAGTGTCTGCTTTCGGCCAAACCCAACTGAGCACCAAAGGCAAGGCAGTCTGTCCATGCAGTCGGCTCTGTTTAGGAGAAGGAGCAGGGTGGAGAGCAGACCTGGGCAGGGACTGGGAGCTGCCCAGGACACCTTGCAGAGTTGTTCCCCACCCCCAGCCCCGTAGGTAATATCAGAGAGCTGGGAAAGGACGGAAGAGATACAAAAAAAGTTTAGCTTCAGTTTTAAGCGATTTCAAGGAAAAGGCTGAGATCCGTGGGTGTAGATGGCCTGCTTGAGCCATCGCCCGCCCACTTAGCCTGCTCTGAGCTGCTCCAGAGGTGGCCACTCCACTGGACCGGAGGGTGGATATTTGCAGGGAGGGCTGGACTTTCTGATAAAGCTGCTCCCCACTGTACTTCCATTTCTCCACATGCCCTGGCCACGGGTCAGCTCCTTTTGCCTTTTGGGGGTTTGTAAGTCTGGCAGCCATCCATATGTGTAGTTCAGTGGCCTTGGTGGCAGAGTAGCTATGTGCTGGGCTGATGACTGCAGGGTCAGCAGTTCAAAACCACCAGCTCCTCCAAGAGAGAAAGATGGGGCTTTCTACTCCCTTAGGGGATTTCCAGTCTCAGAAACTCACAGAGGCAGTTCTACGTTGTCTTTTAGGGTCTTTATGAGTCAGCATCAACTCGATAGCAGGGAGTCCATGTGCATTTCACTATGGTCAACATAGCCTCTGCCATTCAGTGATTTGTTTTCTTAACAAAGTCATACACACATATAATCCCAACCACCCAAATTTATGACTCTTTGGAGTGAGGGATAGAATATGGGCTGTCTTATCACACTGTCAGGGGAGGCTGATGGGTGGCCATGAGGCCATGATGCTGAACAGGTTTCCGTGATGTTTCCAGATTAAGGGGGACAGGGCAGCGCCTCGTGCTCCACTACTGAAAAGTTAGGGGAGAGCTAGTGAACCCTCTCTGGTCCCATCCACAGTGGATCCAAGGGCCGGGGAAGGGCTGGGCAGATCTCAGTGCCCTGGGCATAGGGTTGCCATGAGCTGAGGCCCTCTGGCTGGCCTTTTACAGCTATCCCACAAGTCATGTGCTTTGCTGGGTGAAAGGCCGACCTAGCCCTTTTCTTACCATGGCAACTTCATATCCTGGTAGAGAAAGCTCTGTGGTGGTGGGCACCAAGGCCTCTCTCTCTGAGTGCTCCCTTGTCACTCAGATTCATCCAGGATTAACAAGAGGGCTTGTTAATGTCTCCCGATAAAGTAGGATGTGACCAGGAAGCTTTGACACTTTTAAGTTTTTAATTAGTAAAACAGACCGAACCCCAGCATCCGAAGAAGGGAGTACCTGAAGATGAAGGCATTCAACCAAAAAAAACAAAAAAAGATACAAAAGGCTTTTTGTCCTTCGGGATCCAAAAGCTTCCTCACTGACAGGGGGTCTTCTCACGGGCAACACGACTGAGAAGACAGCTAGCCTGACCGCCCCCACATTCATCTCAGACTCCCGTGCAGTCTTCTGTTAAGAGCTGGCAGAACGTGCACTGATTGTCGATTGTCGCTACAGGAGCGTGGGGAATGAGACGGCAGGCACTTCCTTGTGGCCCGGGGACAGAGCCAGTCCTTGGCTGGGCTGACAGCCCATTGTTGGACCTTGTGTGGCTTGCACCTCTGACTTGGTTTTACTCACACAGCCAGTGGGGCTGCCACACCTGCTGGGGGTCCCGCCTGCCTCTGAGCTGTATCCGATTCATCTTTGTAAATGTCCCTTCCCAAGTCCCACCCATGGCGACCTCGTGCATCCAGCTGCACTGTATAAGGTTTGCATTGCTGGGAACAGATCACCAGGTATTTCTACCAAGGTGCCTCTGGGTGGGTTCAAACCATTAGTAGCCACACACATACCTGCACCACTCACGGTCCAAGGAGGCTTATTTACACATAGACCAAAACCAAACGAAAAAGCAACCTAAAACCCCACAGCGGTCAAGCTGATTCCGACGTACATGGACTTACCGGACACAGTCGAACTGCTCCACAGGGCTTGCCGAGCCTGTAGCTCTTTCTGGAAGCAGACTGCCTCATCTTTCTCCCCGGGAGCAGCAGGGGGGTTCCAGCTGCCAAGCGGACCAGGAGCAGCCCAGGGCTTAACCCATCGGGTCACCGGGCTCCCTTTTTTTGGGTAAATGAAAATACAGTCTTGCATTGCTTCACATCCATGGATACATTCTGTGACACAGGATGTTGTGGGACTTGGATGTTGTACCAACACCGATGTCTTAGTCTGCTGTCTTGACCTTAGGCCTCAGCAGTGCTCATCAGCCTGAAGCGAAGGATTCCTTTTTGTGTTGGTCCTTCATCCACTCCATCAGCAAGTTCTCTATCACGGACATCGGCCCCGCTCACATTTTCTTTCACTTGTAGCTTTCAACGCAGCCCAGCCTTGATCGTCATGGAGAGTTTCGCCCTTGACTTTGAAGGTCGTTGTGATTGTTGAGTGGGTGGCACACGCCCACATTGGCAAGCCGTAGCATTCACCGATTTTCCACCCACATGGTCCTCAATGACCTTTTGTTTCACTTCCAAAGCCATACTTCTCCTTTCTCCCTTGTGCTGTTGTCCCTTAGCACCGGCTTCGCTGCCTTGGGGAGCTGTGTGCACTACTACATGGCAATAGCTTCTAACAAAACTCAACAGGGAGATCTTGCATGATACCAGAACAAAGACTGCCACGTGGAGAAAATCCAGCACAGTATATACCTAGGTGTTTACTGTAACTCTAGGGACATATGTATCATGGGTTATATGTATAAATGGCCACACCAGATACCTGGCAGTACGATTGTTTTGTGTACAGGAGCCACAAGATCTATGTGTTGCATTCAGGAAGCTGTTGTATTTTCCGGGTGGGGCATCTGAACGCTAGTGTAACCTTGAGGCAGTGGTGGGGGTGGGGAGGTCACGATGTACATGCAGTTGGATGTTGTCTTGGACAGATGTTATGTGGTGCATGGCTGTAGCTCATTTATACATTCCAGATTAGAAAGAAAAATACTAGGAAGACGTTAATCCCTTTTCAAAAGGCCCCAGGATATGATTTTTTTCCAAGTCAGTTTCTCTCAATTGATTTTAAGCACTTGATTTTTAGAACTGGGCAAGTTTGGCTGTTTTTGAAAACGATGATTTGATTAAGGAATGCATCAGTGTTGTGAGGCAAATGACTTCTGATCCTGGCCACCTTTTGTGTCGAAGTGGGCAAGAGAACAGTCTCAGGAGTGCGAGGATCGGAAGCAGGATAGATACAGACGTGGGCTACTGGTGGAGGAGGGAAGGTTGCGGTGGCCGTTCAGGAAAGCTGACACCCCCTGTGTTCGGTTGTGCAGTATTACTACAGCATAAAGGACATCAGCATTGGGGGGCGCTGTGTCTGCCATGGCCATGCGGAAGTGTGCAGCGTGAACAACCCGGACAATCTGTAAGTACCAGCACACAGTTCCTCTCCTTGCCAGGGTCATATCTGATTCTTTCTGGGGATGGGTCCCTATCATGGAGGGTGAGTCAACAAGTATTGCGACAAAATCATAGAAATTTTTATGAAACAACAACATATCAAAACGTACAGCAATCGTTTCTCTTAGTGTGTCTGACAGGACCTCCGTCTGATTCTATACACTTCTGAAGATGGGGTCGCTACAGCTCTGACCTTGTCCTGAAGAATGCTGTGCGCTTCCATTGAGCCCATATACAAAGTGCCGTGTTGACATCCACAAGGGACTCAAAGTGTGCTCCTTCTAAAGGTTCTTTGTGTTTTGGATGTAGAACGACGTCGAAGGGCCAAGATCAGGGATGCAGGGTGGATGGGGTAGGCTTTCCAACCAATCCTCCCATGGCAGCCATTGCTACTCTCCAAGAAGAAGCGGGTGCATCATCCTGATGGGTTGTTTTTTTTTAAGTTTTGGTGCAAGTTTCTTGGCCTTTTCACTCAGAAATGCAATTTACAATGTTCGTAAAGCCTCTGTGATTTTCCTGCGTCCTCTAAGAAAATCGATCCCAAAAGGAAGACACCATGACCTTCCGATCTGACCTCTGTGCCCCAAGTTCAACTAGCCCAGCGGATGCCCCCAAATCTGATTTGAATGGACTTTTCTTTCTCAAGGCTCTCTGAGACTAAGACGATTGTATTATGGTAGCCACCCATTAAGGATAGAGACATGTTTAAACATGTTTTATTTGGATAAACCCATACATGTAGGAGTTGGAACCCTAAATTAGCCATACTGTTTTCAGTGACCCTGTATATATCCACATTTCTTCCTCTCTGTCCGTTTGTCATGCTGTGGTACATGTGTGTTGCTGTGATTCTGGAAACTATGTCATATGGGCTAATGTTGGACTTGTGGGCTTGGGCAGCACTGGGTTGGGATGCTTTCTTAATGTACACGTACCCTTTGTATAAAACTCTCTCCTATACATCTGAGCTTCTGTGGGTTTGTTTCCCGAGTGGACCCAGACTGACTCAGACACGTAGTCAGGAGGGACCATCTCCTGGAGAAGGACGTCCTGCTTGGTAATGTAGAAGAGCAGCGAAAACCAGCAAAGCCTTCAACAAGATGGATTGACACAGGGGTTCCATTGATAGCCTCGACCATAAGAACACTTTTAAGGATGGCACAGCACCAGGCAGTATTTCATTCTGTTGTACCTACAGTCGCTATGAGTCCGAACTGACTGGATGGCACCTAACAACAGCAACACACTTCTACAACTACATCTTGCAAATGGTATTGCCCCTACTTTTCCCAAGAGGCAACTAAGGATCGAGATCCAAAAGGTTAGAGACTGAGAGAGGGGTATGAGTTCTAACCCTGTGTAGCCAATGCGAGGACATGCGTTCCATGTCAACGCTCAGCCTGGTGAGGGAGAGATTTAGGAAGGGCAGTCATCTGGGGTTGCCAGTATGACTCAGAGGGGACCAAGCCATTTTTTAAATTTGTCATATAATCTCAATCTTCATCTCTCTATTAAAGTAATGAAGGAACCCTGGTAGTCCAGTAGGTTAACTATTGTGGTTCAAACTCACCCATTATTCTGAGGCAGAAAGACGAGGCTGTCTGCTCCGGTTAAGATGTAGTCTTAGAAACCCAATAGAGCAGTTTTACACTGTCCTACAGGGTTGCCATGAGACAGAATTGATTTGATGGCCATGGATTCAGTTCGGTGTTTTGGTTAGACTAATTAGGAGTCCTCAAGGGGCACAAATGGCAAACTCTCGATTACTAGTCAGTAGGGTTGTGGTTTGCGCCTACTCAGAGGTGCCTCACAAGAGAGGCCTGGCAATCTGCTTCTGCCAGGTCACGACCTTGGAAACCTGCAGAGCACAGGTGGGCTGTGTACACGTGGGGTTGCCTTGAGTTGGAGACAGCTTGATGGCTACCACCTGGGAGTCATCCTACTGCCTGCTCATTAATCAGTCCCCCCCAAACCATCTTTCAGTCCTGCCTGAGCCAAACGTTTCATGGCACTGAGCTGACGTTGGCATTCTGACAAATGCCCATTTGGATGCCAGCTGTTCTGCGCTGCCAGTTAAATCTCTGCCCACGTGCTCTTATAAACAGCTAAGCTGGGAGAATGACATATCCCCTTGGGAGGGTGACTGAAGATGTACCGTCCTCCTCCCTAGACAAGAGTGGGGTTTGCTTAGAAAATGGGTTTGAATCCTCTTTCATGCACAGATGAATAAGACATCAAAGCCTGGGGTTCTAGTCCAACTCGATGGCTACACAATTTCCACTTCACTTGGAAAAACGTGTGGGTGGAGTCATACTTCTTTGAACGTAGACTTTTAGAGTTTTACCACCACCCCACCCCGCCCCCATGCCTCACTGAGTAATGTCTGCTTTGGGCCTGGTGAGTGAGCTGTTGTTGAGCTGGCACGGCCCCTGGGAGTGGGCTTCTCTGAGAGCTAATGATTAGTCACAACCCCCAGAGCCCTGAAGTCTCTGGGGTGACCCCAGGTGGGGACCAGCACTCTAAAGCAGACATTTTCTCACGGGACTGTTCCAGATCCTCGTGAACAGATTCTGCTTTGTCTTGTTGTATAGATAGATAGATATGTAAGTATATTTATATAACATAGCATTTGCCATTTCAAGATTTCCCATGTGTCCAGTCAGTGACACAATTACATTCATCATGTGGTGCAATCATCACTAATCTCCATGGCTAAAAGTTGCATCATTGTAAACAGAAACTGAAGGCTTCCTAAGTAATCACTCTTCCTCCCCTCACACCCCTTTGGTCCCAAGCCCCAACCCACTGATATCACACCTATTTCAACTCATCGTGACTTATAGGACGGAGTAGATCAGTCCCACAGGGTTTCCAAGTCTGTAAATCTTCATAGAAGCAGACTGTCACATCTGTCTCCTGAGGGATGGCTGGTGGGTCCCAATGGCTTTAACCACTGCAACACCAAGGATCCTCTCTCCTCTGGTAACGATGAATAAACTTTGGTCTTTATACATTTGCCCAGTGTGTTAGTCTGGGTTGACTGGAGAAAACAAAATTCATAGACACTCATATGTGTTTTAGAGAAAACTTTATATCAAAGAGCAATTGTACATTAAGAAAACACCCCAGCTCAGTCGAGATCAAGTCCATCAGTCTGATATTACCCCATATGTCAATACTAGTCCATAAATTCCTCTATAGACTCATGCAGCCATTCAATGAAGCCAAATGCAGGAAGATCACAGGCCAGTGGTTGGAAAGTCTTGTGGATCCAGTGGTGGAAGCATCTCAGTGCTGGTGTGGGTTTCCATATGGCTTCTTCAGCTCCAGGGCTCTGGCCCTATCAGCGTAGTTCCATGTGTCTTATCAACAGGAATGTCTAACAGGGAGTGTGTGTGTATCTGGCCTCCGGTGCACAAGTTATCTCCTTTGTGCCTCCATATGAAGTCAGCAAGCTGCGACCTGATTGACAGGCTAGACCCCACCCCTTCATAAGTTGACAGTAGATTATGTAGCTGCCATACCTAGTCTAGATATTTCATATATTTTACACTTCATTCATTCAATATGAGATCATTTGATATGAAGGTAAGTCAAAAAGTATTATTGCTAAGGTTCCAATTTGGGTTTATTCCAAACAAAATGTCTTTAAACATGTCTCTACAATCAGAAGGTGGCTGCAGACAAGTTTTTTAATGATACACTCTCCTTAGTCTCTTTAGAGCACCTTCAAGTCAAAACTGCAAACAAAACATTGGCTTCAAAGGGGATTTGTGGGACAGTGAGGTTCAAGGTCAAGGCCAGACTGGAAAGTTATGGTTACTGTTTTGGGGAGATGCCAAAGGGTTAATCTTTTTTTCTTTTTCTTTTTGTAAATCATTTCATTGGGGGCTCATATAACTCTTATCACAATCCATACATCCATCCATTGTATCAAGTACATTTGTACATTTGTTGCCCTCATCATTCTCGAAACGTTTGCTTCCTACTTGAGCTCTTGGTATCAGCTCCTCATTTTTCCCCTCCCTCCCCACATCCCCACTCATGAACCCTTGATAATTTATAAATTATTCTGTCATATCTTATTACACTGTCCGACGTCTCCCTTCACCCACTTTCCTGTTGTCCGTCCCCCAGGAAGGAGGTTATATGTAGATCCTTGTAATCGGTTCCCTTTTTCCACCCCACCCTCTCTCCACCCTCCCGGTATTGCCACTCTCATCACTGGTCCTGAAGGGATAATCTGTCCTAGATTCCCTGTGCTTCCAGTTGCTATCTGTACCAGTGTACATCCTCTGGTCTAGCCAGATTTGTAAGGTAGAATTGGGATCCTGATAGTGGGAGGAGGAAGCCTTTAGGAACTAGAAGAAAGGTGTATGTTTCATCGTTGCTATACTGCACCCTGACTGGCTCATCTCCTCCCCAGGACCCTTCTGTAAGGGGATGTCCAGTTGATCACAGATGGGCTTTAGGTCTCCAGTCCACACTCCCCCTCATTCACAATGATATGATTCAATGGTTAATCTTGACAGTTTTTCGTAAAGAACATAGGGAAGGCAATATACCACCTTCAGAAGTAAATAGATCTAGATGGACGATATGTTGGGAAAACAAGAGCTTCATTTTTGCAATGTTAATAAATAGAAGTGTATGTGCTTTTGCTTGACCCAAGCCATGAAATGTTCGATCGCCCCATATGCACATGAAAGTCGGACATTGACTAAGATGCAAGCTCAACACATTTGCATTACGGTATTACACAGAATACCGAAGTACCACAGACCGCATTATAAAGAATACCGACGTGCCACAGACCGCCGAAAGAAAGCCACAATCCGTCTTCGAAGAAGTCCAGCCAGGGTGTTCTTTAGAGGCCAGGATGGCGAGACTTCATGGTACATCCTCTGAATACGTTGTCCGGAGAGATCCCTCCCAAGAGAAGGCCATCGTGTTGGTAAAGCAGAGGGGCAGCAAAGGAGAGGAAGACCCTTTGACAAGATGGACTGACACAGCGGCGGCCACCAAGGATTCAAAAGTACGCATCATGTGAGGCTGGCTGTGTTAGTCCGGGTAGGCTAGAGAAACAAACCCATGGACACACATATGTGTACAAGAAAGAGATTTGTATACATGAGCAATGGAACATTGAGAAAACATCCCAGCCCAGTCCAGACTCAAGTCCATAAATCCGATATTAGCCCATATATCCAATATGAATCTATAAAGTCCTCTTCAGACTCATGAAACACATGCAATGACGCCAATGTCGGAGATCACAGCCCAGTGGGTAGAAAGTCTCTGGATCCAGTGTCGTTGGAAATATGTCAGCACTGGCAGGGGTCTCTGCATCAGGATGGGCCCATGTGTCTTGTCAGCTGCTATGTCTCCCAGGCTGGGAGCAGAGAGTCTCCCACCTCCAAGGAGGAACATACCGGAATTCCCAGAATCCTTAGGGGAAGGCTATGCCCACACAAACGCCTCATGGGCTATGACCTCATTGACAGGCTAGACTCCACACCTACACACTTAATCCTTACATTGACAATGATGTAACTACCACACTGGCGCAGGACGGGGCAGTTTTGTTCTGTTGTGTGGAGGGTCATGTGAGTCTGCCGGCACTGAACCACAACCACATGTTTTTGTAGCAATACTTTTTGATGTTTCCTCATGCATGTCCCTTGGTGATTGCCTTACTTGATTAAGCGGATTGTTTTCAAACTGCACAGATTCTGAACACGTCTTAGTGGGTGAGCTGGGTCCTGGCTGACTGGGTTGCTCATTCATTGCAGCGGAGGGTGTGGACGAGGGCGAGCTGGGGCGTTGGAGGCAGAGTTAGGTTTGCAATCTGGCTCTCCCTTTATCGCTAGTGTTACCTTAGCAAGTGTTTCCATATCGCTGCCTCCGGCTTTTATCATCTGCAGAATGGTGATCACACATCTGATTTGGCAGGCTTGGCAGGGAGGAGGGGTGAGGCTTGCAATCATAGGTGCAAAAGGCTCTGTTCGTTTCACCGCCCAATAACTGGCACTTGCCAGTATGACCAGGATGATTTGAATCCCAACATGGCAAGTAACTGGGTTGTGTTTCACCCACACGGCCAGGTTTCGGTGTGAATGTCAGCACCACACCTGCGGAGAGACGTGTGATCGCTGCTGTGCAGGCTACAACCAGAGGCAATGGCGGCCGGCC